CTATTTGGCGAGCTTGAGGAGGCGCGGGATGTCGGGCTCGATGGCGCTGGTCTGGAAGCGGGGGCTGTAGCGCTTGAAGGGCTCCCCCTCGGGCCCCACCAGGAACTTCTCGAAGTTCCAGGAGAGGTCGTCGCGGCGCACCGGGCTCCACACGAGGAACTTGGGGTCGGCCATGAGGGCGGCAGGCTCGTCGGCCGGGGCGGGCAGGTGGGCCTTCAGGTAGGCGAAGACGGGGTGCACGTCCTGCCCGTTCACCTGGCACTTCTGCAGCAGCGTGAAGTTGGGCTCGAAGCCGCCGCCCGGCCGCACGTCTGAGGCTCTGCACCAGATCCGGCTTCTCAGGAAGCACATGCACTGTTGTGGGAATGGGAGGAGCAGCACACACACTTCCTGAGAAGCCAGATCTGGCTCAGAGCCTTCCTCCCCATCCTCCTGCTCCCCCCACCCCGCATGCCTCAGGAAGGAAGGCAACACGGGAAGACAAGAAAGCACATGCTCCTCCCCTCCCCACAACAGCGTGGGCTTTCTTGTCTTCCTTTCCTTTCCCATGCTCCGGGGAGGTGTGTGTGTGTGTGGGGGGGGCAGTGTCCTGCCTGGGGGGGGTCCCATCCTCCGCGGTGCCAGGTGCCTGGCTGAGAGACAGTCCCTGCCTGGTGAGCCCACATGCTGAATGGACAAGACAGGCAAAGGGGAAACTGAGGCAGCAGGCAGAGAAGTGACTTGCCATTGGGCACCCAGTAGATCTGTGGCAGGGCTGGGGAGAGACCCCGGGTGTCCTGTGTCATTGACTTGCCCCCTGGGGCGCGTGGAGCTGGGAAACACCCTGACCAGCGCCAATGAAAACTGGCTTGTACGGTCCCAGCAGGGAAGCCCCCTGGCCAGGCTCCTGGAAGGGACCCAGCCACCCTGCCCCCTCTCTAGCTGCTCTCGTTCTCACACTGGCCTGGTTCTGGGGGCAGCCCGGGGAGGCATCCGCACGCTGGGGCCCGCCTCTGCCGCCTGAGGGTGGAGCTGCTCCAACGCCCCCCCCGGCTGCCTCTGGGGGCTTGTGGCCAGGAGGAGCCAGCCAGGCCAGGGAGAGGGATGGAGGCCGAGAGGAGAAACACCCGAAACCCACACGCTGCGCAGCACAGGCCCCCGGGCTTTTGGATGCAGCGGTGGCTGACATGAGCTAGTGCAATGAGACCTGCTTGTGCCGTGCAAGAGGGCATGAGCTGGGGCGGGGGTGCCCCTGCCCCACGTCCTGGTGCAAGGCAGCGCGGCAGAAAGCAGCCCGTTCCCTGGCTCTGGAACTGATTTCCAGGCTGGACTGAGCACCATGCTGCTGCGTGGCCAGGGCTGGGCTCCTCCCTGCCATGTGCGCACCCGCGGCTGCTCTGCTCTGGCAAGACGCCACAGGAGGAGCAGGGGCTGCATACATCCCCCGTTCCCAGGCCCCAGCTGGTGGGAGTCCCCCAAGTGCCGAGCCAGTGCCGGAGGGGGATGATCCTGCAACCCGCAGGGCTCCCTGGGGAGGCAGGGGATATGGGGGAGGGGGCCCACGTACCTGGTAGCCAAACTGGTTGCACGGGAAGCCCAGCACGACCAGCCGGCGGGGGTAGCGGGCCTGCAGCTGGTTGAGCTGGGTGTAGTCCCGCACCGTCGTGCCTCAGAGAGACGCCACGTTCTCGATCAGCACCACCCGGCCCCGGAAGTTGTTGAAATCCACCTTCTCCCCGTGGAGGTCGGTGGCGCTGAGGTCGTAGAAGGACTTGGCGACGTGAGCCATGGCTGCAGCCGAGCAGTGAGCCCTGCCCACGGCGGGCGCCGGCTTAAGGCTCCCTGCGCCCGCCACGTGATTGGCGGCTCCAAAGGTCTCTCCCGCCCTGGCACGCGTGGGAGGGGATTGGAGCGCTCACCTGCCAGCGAGCCAGCTCTTTCCAACCCAAGAACAAAGCAGCAGGTCAGAGCTGTGCAGGTGTCAGTGCACAGCCAGCTAGTGCAGGCAGGAAATCCAGGCCAACCTGATACGCTGGCTAGCTTGTAATTCAAGTCTGCCGGCTCCTCTAGCAGAGACATTGCGCTGGGGGGAGAATCAGACAAGGACTGGTACGTGTCCACTGGCCCTAGACATCTGGAGATCAGGGCCCCACAGGGCCTGGTGCTGCCCAGACACACAGCTGAGATAAGGGCTCTGTGGGGCTGGGCGTTGCCCAGATACAGCAAGAGGCAGGCCCTGTCTCTCAACTGTTTCAGCCTCCCCAGCCACAAGTGTTCAACCCTGGGGAAAAACACAGGCCGTTTCAAACATAACACGACTCCGTTGGGGTTTCCTTTTCTTTTCCCTTCTGCCTGAGTAGGTCAAAACTTCGGAGAGGATTTCCCATCAGAAAAAGTCATTGTGAGGCAAGGCAGCCCGCTCTGCGTGCAGGTCGATGCCAATGAAATTGGGTTTCGGGGAAAAAAAATGGACAAAGGATTTTGACCGGCTCAGAACAGAGCCTTTCACGTCTCCCTTCGGAAAGGTGGCTGCTTCCAAACGCACTCTGTTGGGACTGTACCTTTGACTATTACAGCCCAAAGAATTAAACCCCAGTGTGTTTCTATAGACACACTTTTAAAATACCTCCCATTAGAGCCGGGCTGTAGAATTCAAATAGACACCTCCCCCAAGGCACCGCCCGGGGACTCAGTCCTCAAAGGGATCGCTCTACTGCCCCCAGCTGTGCAGCTCAGCTACTCCCTCCCCTCCCTCCCTGGGAGTTTGCCCCACACCCCGAGGGGAATGCCCCCAGGGTGCTCACCTCCATCACCTTTGAGACTCCCCCACCCTGAGGAAAGGGAACACCCCTGCGTGCTCCCATCCCCTCCAGGAGAGGACACGGTCCCAGGTGCTCAGCCCCTGCTGTCCCAGGCAGAAGGTGCTGGAATTACTGGCAGCAGGATCCGATTGCCAGCCCAGCGGGGCCCTCGGGCAGCTGCCTGGAACCAGAGCTGTCCCATGGGCAGCGGAGAAACCAGAGCCCCCTGATGAGGACGTGACATCAGCTTTACCTGTCCTGGCTGCAGCTGGTACCACGAGCAGCTGCCCAGGCCAGGGCCAGGCTACCACGCCAGGCCCATCCTGGCTTCACTCAGGGGGCACATGGGGGCTCTTAACCTGCACTTACCTTACAAGAGGCCACGGGCCAAATGCCCGTCTGCGTCGCTGACCTTCTGCCCTGCTGGGGGCGGCTCTCAGCCAGTGCAGAGCCACATACCCAAACCCCAGCGGTCAGATGGCCCCCAGGGCCAGGAGAGACAGGCGGGTCAGGGCTCCTTCGCCCACCCAGCCCCAGAGAGCAGGTGGCCCTGGGCTGAGGCAGCAGCAGCTGCCCGTCCACGGGCCCACCCGGGCCAGGCCCCCAAAGGCACCGCAGCCCTGTCTCCAGGCAGCGAGATCCCACAGCCGAGCAGCAGGAACATGCAGCCCCTGCACCGGTTTGAAACCACCTTTATTCTGTAAACATCTGTCTAAAATAATCAACTCCAGGTCACACGCTGCCCCCCCCCGGCGGGCGGAGGGCACGAGGGGGGACACAGCCGGGGGGTCACAGGGGCAGCGGGGTGTTTTCCAACAGGACGGGATGCGCGCGGCCGCGGACAGAGGCCAGTGGCACAGAGCCACGGGTAACAGGGCAGGCAGGACGCCCGGCTCAGAGGGGCCTTGTGGAATCCATGCGCGGGGGGAAGCCTGGCCCATTAGCAATGGAGGAGGGGGGCCAAGGAGCTGGGCGCGTTCCTCTAGGAAACCAACCCCCCACGGTGCAATCTTGCCTCCACGCAGCGTCAGGGGCCCTCATGCTGCGCCGCACCCAGCCAGCGCTGCCACACAGCGGCGGTGGGGCGGGGCCGCCACCCCATGTCCCTGCTGGGATTCAAGGGGAGCGCTCCTTGCCAGGGGACACTCAAGCCGAGCCTGCCCTGCCCAGGACACGCAGGGACATGGGGGAGGGGACACAGCCAGTGCCCGATTCACCCAGCAGCCACCTCCCCACCCGCGCAGTCCAGGATGCTCAGTCCTGCCCAGGCCCCTGACACTGGCCCAGGAAGGGTTAATACTTACAAAGGGAGCCCCCCTCCCCCCCCCCACACACAACGCCAGGAGGGGTGGAGAAGAGACAGGAGGGTGTAACACATTCCTGGGGTGGGGAGGGGCAGCAAACCCCTTTCCCAGCTGGCGAGGTGGGGCCTGCCTGCCCCGAAGAACATCCTAAGGGACAAGAGGGGCAGAGCGCAAAGCGGGGAGGGTCCGTCTGCCAGCCAGGCAGGGGCCGCTTGAGCGGGGCAGCTCCTCGCCGGGGTACCCATCAGCAGCCCCCATTTCTCTGGCCCGCGGAAGCTCCTGGATGCAGGCTGGGAACTGGCCTCAGAACCATGCAGCGTGGACAGGCAGCCGGGCACGAGTAGCGATGCTCCGACACCCCCGGGGGCACAGTCCCACAGGTAAGATGGCGGACCAGCCCCAAGACCCCGGAGGGTGCCGAGCACCTCGAGCCGGCCAAGCAGGAGTCAGGCACGAGAGGGGCTGAGCTGGCGCTGGCTCCACGT